CTTCTTTAGGGGATTTCTGGTGACTTAACTACTCCGTCTCCACATAACCCCAAATCTCCTACTCCCTCCCCAGGAGCAGGTCAAAGAGAAAGCTGGAAGAGGCTCCGAGTGGAGGAGAAAATCTGCAGCCTATAGTCCCTGGAATAGATGGTGTTGCATCTGGTCTCCGCCAATGGTGGCCCAGAGAAGTGTGCCTCAGGGGACCCCGCTGGTGGCTGGTGGAGGCAGCATGTGGGCTGCTCTTCTTGGGTGCTCCCTGAAACTTCATTTATGGGAGCCCGAAACTCTTTGTCTGGTACTGATGTTCACACCTCCGACCCCAGGGCCTTAGCATATGCCCCACTCATTGGTGGTCACCTCCAACAGCTCCTCAGGGCCTTTCTTCACGGAGCACTTGCTCTACACTGTCACAATGCTGAAAGCTGCCCACGGGTTAGTTTCATCAATCCCCACGACCAGAGAGAGCAGGGGTTCCATTCTCCACCTTCCTGAGGAGGAGCTTGACACCAGAGAGGTTGAGCGACTAGCCCATGGACTCCAGCCTAGCCTGCTGGTCCTCAGCATGTCTCACCCTAAGATGAGGGGCTGTACAGAAACTAGACCAAGCAGAGGGGTAGCTTTGATGCTTGAGCATCTTCTGGTCTAAGTTCAGGTGGGAGGGGGCTGGCAGGCATCTTGCTGAGCATTTTACAAATTGAAGCCACAATGTCTAAACCTCAAAGTGCTTCCAAACTTCTAGGATTTTATGCCCTGTGTACTTTATGTGCTTACGAGGATAAATATACTACAAGTACAAGTAAGGATCTAGGGATCGATGGATCGGACGGTGCCAGGGCTGCGGCGGCCGAGGCAAAGAGAGTCAGCAAAGAGAGAAGCACGTGGATGGATACATTATAAAAAAAATAAGTTCCTTTTTGGTCTAACTTCAGCTCTCTAAAATAGCAAGGCAGGAAGCTGAAAGACTTTAATTATTTATGGATGTTGGGCCACACCCGGCGGTGCTCAGGGCTTGCGACTGGCTCTGTGCTCAGCGATCACTCCTGGCGGGGCTCAGGGGACCATAGTGGATGCCAGGGATTGAACAGCCCAGGACAGCTGCATGCAAGGCCAGCACCCTACCCACTGGACTATCCCTCCAGCCTGGCTCAGGGACGTTAAAGTACCCACACGTGCCTTTCGGTCCTGGTTCCATTGAATCTGCCTATAGGAATCTGAAGTCGATTCAATAAGAATTTCTCTTCGCAGGATTCTGTGTGAAGGTGATATAGAAGCTTTGAGGCAAGGTTCCCAGAGAAGTGTTATTTCTTAGAAATCTGGGCTACATGGGCAGGAATTGCAAAAATCTGAATTTTAGTTCCCTCGCTTGCAAAAGGGAAGTATGGAGACAGGGAACAAACCGCAGTATTGAAGGGAGAGAAAAAAAAAACCACAGAGCCCAAGTCAATGACTCAAAAGTGACTCTTGAATCTGTCGCTAAGTAGTTGCATGACACGGGAACCATTTCAATAACCTCGTTCAGCTTCAGTTTCTATAGAACGGCCACGACCAAGGTAAGGGAACTAGATGAGCTATTCAGGTGCTTCCGGCAAGCACTCACTCTCGCTGTTTGCTTGTTACCGCAAGGCTTCCAAACACCACCCGTCAAAGCAAGAGTAGGTGTGCAACGAACTATGGGAACACTGTTATTTTCAAGTTAGGCCCATCTCCCGTAGTCTCTGCGAATGAAATGCTTCTTTCCTTTGGGAAACCCATTCCCCAAACTCCGCCTTCTCGCATCCCCACAACTGTGGGATGAACACACAGCTCTGACTTCTCGCTCAGAGGACACTCGCCATCTCACTGGTCAGAGGAATTTGCTCATGGACATGTGACCAGACCCGCAAACGCCCTCAGTCCTTCTCTGCAGCACTGCGAACCTACCTTTGCTGGATGAGTACCCTCCCAGCCCTCTGCTTTTGCCAAATGCCATGCTCAATGTCTTGGGGAGGGGGGCAAGATGAACAGATGGAGCAAGATGAAGTCTCAAAATCTGAGCCCCTCGATCCACTCGACCCAGTCGCTCCTAAAACCACTCATCACTACTGATGGCCTTTGGAGGACCAGTATCTTCCTCTTGGCGTTAGACAAGCTTTGCTCGTGTGTCTGTCCCGTATACCAAGTAGAAGTGTTCTAACCAGGGCCTAGATGTTACTTCCTTTTCCCACCACTCACTCAAAATATGCCTTATTATACACCCATAGCCTACCTAAAATGTAGATTTTTTTTCCTTTTTCCTTTTTTTTTTTTTACAAGCATTCAGTAAGAAGCAGTTTTTGGTTCACACGTCTACTAAGAAAAGAAAAGGCGTCTTCTGTCTGCTGCCTGACCCACGTGGCCTGCTAAAGGGACAAGGAGTCAACAGCCCCCCACCCCCACCCCACACCCGGCGTTCCTGGGGAAACAGCTCGCCGTGTGTCGACGGAGATGCAGTGCTCTTTTAAGACAGAGCCAGTGGCCTATGTATACCCACTCGTGATTGCACCGCTATTGATTTCTAATTTGTACCCTGCTCACTTCCCCAAAGGCCCTAGAGTGGCTGACAAAATTAGACAAAGACACAATGAGGCCATTAAGAAAAATCAAAGATCAAGCCCAGAGAGGGGAAAAAGGGGGGGGGGGGGTTGTGAAGCTGTTGATTGCAGCCCGAACCTGGGTTAATGTGGTTGCCTCAGTGGGGAAAAAAATTATATTTAGCGCTCCACTTTTTGGCAGGCATTCAGAATATGTCATGCCGGGGCTCCCGGATAAATGGGCATCCTTCACTTGGGGCTCCGCTCTCAGCACAGAGGCCAGGCTGGAACCAGCCCCCCAAAGGAGCTGATTAAATGAGTGAATGAATGAAAGAACAGAGGGTTCAAGGAATGGTGGATGGAAGAACTCAAGCACCTTGAACGTTCCACTGATGCCCTCAGACCTCTCTCATTCATTCATTCATTCATTCATTCCTCTATTTGTGAAGTGCCTGACCTCAGACCTCTCTCATTCATTCATTCATTCATTCATTCCTCCATTTGTGAAGTGCCCGATCTGTGCCACACTCTGTGTCCGCCTGGGATGTGGAGGTTGCCAGATACCAAGGTGAGTCCAATGCCTGCCTGCCGACCTTTGGCTAGAAGCAAAAGCGTGATACGATTTATCTCGGAACACAAATCTAGTCCTCTCTGCTTTGAGACTCTCAGAGCAAAGCAGTTGGAAACTGAGGCAGTGAAGGAGAAACAACAGTTAGCTTCTTGATCACCTTCACAGGTGACCCTTCGCAAGCCTAGGGGGGGAAAATACAATGCAGGCCCTGGGACTTCTTGGCTAGGTAGAGTGTCCGGGGCTAGAGGGCATCTCCCTTGTATTGCCACGGGAGAGAAGTGGCCACCCCCTGAAGCCCGTCATCACCGCCTGAAATTCCTCCTCTGACCAGCCCTGCAGAAAAAGGGGCTGAGTGTGGGGAGCAGCTGACGGTTATGGCTCCCACGCAGACGAACAAGAACCCGAAGCGCACCCCTGGCCCCCCCGCTGACGTCCTGCAGCTGAGTGAATGAACACTCCTGAGTCCCCTGCCTCCCTCCCGGCTGCCCGGCCCCTCCCGTTCACCAAGAGAGTGACGCTGGGCGTTTTATGAAGGGCACAGTCAGTCTGCGTGACTTAATTAAGAGCAGGCAGGAAAAGCAGAGCCCAGTCCTGGTGGGAGAGTGAGGGGGGTATCTGGGAAAGAAACTCTGCATGGAAGGGGCGGGGCGAGTGGGAAGCGAGGCTGGTGTTCCATGGCCCATTGGGTCTTATTCGGCTCCGCTGGACTCTGAGCCTGTCACTCTGTCCACCCTCACGCTCCTCGAGACAGAGTCAGCAGGGTGGGGAGAGGGGCAAGGCGCCTCCCAGACTGGCCGGGTCGAGGAGAACTCACGCGAGAAATGAAGTGGGCGGCAAGAGGCGGCTCTGGCCAAGGACAGGCAAGCAAGACCACCAAGACACCAGCCACTCCCAGGCCACTCCATTTTTTCCGACAACTTTCCCCCTCCCAACGCATTTCTGTCCACAGTCTCTGTCTGCGAGAGACCCATCCCAGATTCCTAACGCAGAAGTCATCCTCATTCTCCAGGGGCGCACACTTGTATGCATTTCCCATTTCCTAACGTATCCTGGAGTCTACGTGCCTCACGTGATGGCATCAGTAGGTAGGACCCAGAGCAGTGGCGAAGGCAGGGGTGGGTGGGCGGGGCTGAGGGGTGCAGAGGGGTGGCCCCGGCGCTCAAGCTGACCCCAAGGCATTGGGAGCCAGGTCACTAGCCAGATTGCAGACCTCACCGGCCAGCTGCTGGGCTGACTCCACTCAGAGTGGAGCCTTGGGGCACCCAGGTTCAGATCGAAATCCACACGGGTCCCTTCGAGAAGGATTTTGAGATTTGAGCCACAGGGTGGCTGGCTGCCAGCAAGTTCTGACACCCGCAATCCATGAATCACAACCTTCCCCGACCCCCGAGAGCACCCCCGGGCCTTCGACTTCTGAGTCCTTGCGTGTGCCGACGCCTCTCGGCGCTTTTCCATCCTCAGAGCCTTGATTATTCCAGGATATTTGGAGGAAAGCTGAGGTGCTTGTCCCCTGCCCCCCACAGAATCCCACACCTGCAGATGCAGAATTGCCTAGACTGGTCATAGTCAGAAGCGGGCCCCGAGCACCACGGGGCAACCCCAGTGCCCAGATAACGACTCAACTCAGATGCCACCTCCAGGGCATTGCCTGGGGCCTGGGTTAAATGGAAGTTTCCTTCCTCCTCCCTCCCACGAGGCACAAGTTCTCAGCGGCCGGCAGTGGAGTGGACGGGGACCCTGCCCCGTCCCCGTCCTCATTCTCATCTCTCTGCCGAGCGCCACCTCCCACAGGGCAACGCGGACCCAGGCGAGCACACGCTCCGCGTGAACAACACAGCCCAGAGAGTGACGGATACGGAGCGGCGTACGCGGCTACTCACAGTCGGGTGAGTTTCGGCGTGCTCTGGAAAAGCAATTCTGGAAGGACCTGGAGCTTATTCTTGTTCAGGCGCCTGCAGAGGAGACAAGAGGGGGGAAAAGAGAAAGGGAATGAGAAGATGTCATGGGGACATTCAGTTGGGACCAAGTGGATTCACAGACACGGTCCCCCCATCCACCAGGTCACAGGTCTTCAGAGGCTGCAGCTCCCCCAACCCCGCGCCCCCCGCCCCCCCCCCCCGGCCTGGGGAACGCTGTAGCAGGCATCTCCATTGGGGTGGGGCTCGTAGGGAGCTCAGAGGAGCTGGGAAAGGCAGAGGTCATTCGGACGCGACCCCACGGCAGCCTCTGACATACATCACTAATTCACCAACGCACTCTTTTCCTGGACCTCAGACAAGGCTTCTAAAACTCCCTCCTCCTGCCTCCGGGGTCCAAGTGGCTACTGTCAAATGACAGAGCTGGCACAGGAACCAGGACCAGAAGAAGAGATAAAGTACCAGAGCAAACATTTGCCATCCTAGATGGCGTGAGGGTGGTCACGGGAAGGAGGGCAGGTGTAGGTGGTAAGCGGGTCAAAGGGCAGCAGCTGGGCACTCCTGGACCGGGCGACTGGCCCGGATGAGCTCTTTCCCTCCATTCCCACTTTAAAATTCTATTTTAGGGGCTGGAGCAATAGCACAGTGGGGAGGGCCTTTGCCTTGCATGTGGCTGAACCGGGTTCAATCCCCAGCATCCCACTGGGTCCCCCGAGCACCGCCAGGAGTGATTCCTGAGTGCATGAGGCAGGAGTAACCCCTGTGCATCACCAGGTGTGACCCAAAAAGGAAAAGAAATATGTTTTATAACCATGTTGGGATAAAACAAACATTCTGACATCGCTCATTGTGATATCGCTATATCCAGTATGATTTTCCTTCTTCTAATTTTAAAAGAAATAAAAATATATTCATGGGCCCTGGGCACTGCTCTTGCTGTGTGTCGGGCTAGCTGAGGACAAAACTTGGCCCAGGGTGCCGGGCACAGAACCCCCCTCTCCCCTCCAACCCTGATCTGAGCTACCCCCATCTCCTGCCCCAAGAATACCCAGTACTACCACCCACCGGAAAGAAAATCACCTGAAGGTGCCCCCAACCCTGGCTGCACTTCTCCTGGGAGAGCATGGCCAACTGGGGTCCTGATCCGCACGAGCCCCTGCACTTCTCAGCGTGATCAGGGAAAGCCCAAGTCAGCATTCTCGAACCTCCTCCCCACAGAGTCCCACGTCACCAAATCCTCCAGAGCAAAAGCCATGTTGACAGTCTGACTCAGTTTCCCCGCTGGGTGTGAGCCCTGTCTGGTTCGTCCAATCCCACGTCAACACCCGGATCCAGGCTATTCCACTGTTCCAAGCACACACGGTCGGTCCCATGGGTGTGAGCCTGCTCTCCCCTCCATTCCTGTCCCACCCTGGGGAAGGAAAACACTTTTAAGGGCCGGGCAACTAAGAGACAAAACAGGGCAGAGCAGGTGAGGGAGGAGGTGGACAGTCCTCAGCATGCATGTGGCACGACCTTCAGGGCCTGGTGTCTGGTGTGTGTGTGCGCGCACGTGCGTAAGGGGCGGGGGGGGGGGGGGTGCGAGGGTCTCCAACTGGAAAGCCACTGAAGGGGCCTCATGCCCTGCTCCAGCCTGACAGTGGTTTGACTACCACAGCAGGGCTCCCAGTGATCTTAAACACAAGTGTGTTTCAAGTTGTGCTCACACACATACACACATACACACACACACACGCGCATGCACGCACACACACCATGCTTAAGTCAACGTAGCACTGTAGCACTGTCCCCCTGTTGTTCGTTGATTTGCTCGAGCGGGCCCAGTAACGTCTCCATCGTGAGACTTTGTTGTTACTGTGTTTGGCATATCGAATACGTCACGGGGAGCTTGCCAGGCTCTGCCGTGTGGGCAAGATACTCTCGGTAGCTTGCCAGGCTCTCCGAGAGGGGCGGAGGAATTGAACCCGGCTCAGCCGGGCCAGCAGCTTGCAAGGCAAACGCCCTACCACTGTGCTATCGCTCCAGCCAATGTAAACCATTTTTACATGTACCATTCAGGAGCATTGAGTCCATTCACACTGTCGATCTTAAGACACGGGCATCCTGCAGGATCAAATGCTTCATCCATCACAGTCGCTCCCCTTGCCCCCTCCTTCACTGACCCTGGCAGCTCCAAGCCCCCTCTTTGTTTCCATAACTTTAACAGGTGCTCTTTTATTAAAGGGGGGTGGGGGAATGATAGGGGAGGGTCTCCACTATGCAAAACACACATTCCAACTTTTGGAGCTCCACATAGAGATAAGTAGAACTAATTTCCTGAAATTCCAAAAAATTGTAAAACAATGACAGGTTAATAAAGTAAATATAGCCCTATACTGTCCTCCCACTGTTCATCGATTTGCTCGAGCGGGCCCAGTAACGTGTCCATTGTGAGACTTGTTGTTCCTGTGTTTGGCATAACGAATACGTCACGGGCAGCTTGCCAGGCTTTGTCGTGCGGGCGAGATACTCTCGGTAGCTTGCTGGGCTCTCCAAGGGGGCGGAGGAATCGAACCCGGGTCAGCCGGGCCGGCTGCACGCAACACAAATGCCCTACCACTATGCTATATCACTCCAGCCCAATAAAAGTAAATATTTTTTTTTTTTAAAAAAGAACGACAGGCATTCTTCTGGATTCTGGTCGCTCCCCCCACCCCCACCCCCACCCCCACCCCGGCATCTACTCTGGTGCATTTCTGTTGCTAAGGGAGAAGGCAGGGGGAGCAGAAGGCAGAGCGCAAGAAGGGGATGGTGAGGGAGGGAGAGGGGGGTCCAGTTCTCCTGTAGAGCAGTCAGTGGCAAGTCCCCCGAGCACCATGCAACCCTCCACACTGGAGAAGACACAGCAGCATCAATGGGTCTGGCCTGGGGAGGGTCTGACTGAGCTTTGCTCTTACTGTGGGAGCCCGACAAAGTCACTGGGTTGTGGCCAGCCTTTGAGGAGAGCCCGGCAAGCTACCGAGAGTATTCGATATGCCAAACACAGTAACAACAAAGTCTCCAATGGAGACGTTACTGGGCCCGCTCTAGCAAATCGAAGATCAATGGGAGGGCCTTCACCTTTACCTTTGAGGAGCTTAGTAAGAATAAATAAGCCCGGGGCTTATTCCCACTGGGCTGAGAGCATGTCAAGAAGGCAGTGATGGTGGGGCCTTATAAATATCCCAGCCCCACCCAACGGGGCCCCGGGACTGGGAGCATCTGAGCCGAGGGTGTCAGGAGGTGGTGGAGGCGGGACTTGAACCCTGGTGGTCTGAATGCAGTGCGAGCGTTACTGGCCTCCTCCTTTCCCTTTCTTCTGTCTCCCATTTGATTCCTTTCATCCAAGGTCACCACCTCCTCCACCCTAGCCCGAGGACCGTCTCCCTCCCTGAAAAGACTCTCTTGGAGGTCCCTAAGGTCCCAAAGGCAGAACCGAGTCTCTCTCGCTGTGGTTCTGTCTGGACCCACCCTCTATTGTCACAGCTGCACAAAGCCTGGTGAGTGCTGCTCAGACACTTCAGTCCCGGCAGAAATCCTAAAATCTGGCCCCCGGCTGCCAGCACGGGTTGGGGTGTTTAGCATGCTAAAAGCTTTCAAAACCAGAGTTGAAGCTAAAAATAAAACCCGTTGGGCGCCAAGGCTCCGGCGAGGGAAGGAATCGTTTTCAGTTCTTTGCCGGTATTTGCGGCCGGACAAAAATAAAAACACAACCGAGTTCAGCCAATGGTGCCCTCCGCCCGCTGCCTCATCAGCCCCCAATGGGGGGGGGGGGGGTGCCAGGGAGGCCGGGCCGGGCTCCGTTCCCAAAAGCCTCGGGGTCTTTCCACTTCGGCTTGGGCGGGCCGCATGCTGGTTCTCCCTATCACAAGAACGCAGACGTGAGGTTTCCTTTCCAGTTCATTCCGGGATTTACTCGTGTTTACTTAGTTAACCGAGTTGGGGGGGTCCGGGAGATCTTCCTCAAAGAGGTGAGCCCTTCCCATTTCATGCTGTCAGAGCAGTTCCTAACAGGAAACAGAGTGTGAGGAAATGTGCTCTTTAAAAAAAAATTCATTTTTATAAAATTGTTCCCATTGATTTATTATAGTCAATATTCTAATACCACTCCCACCACCACTGGGCTGGAGCGATAGCTCTGCAGGTAGGGCATTTGCCTTGCACGCGGCTGACCCAGGTTCGATTCCTCCATCCCTCTCGGAGAGCCTGGCAAGCTCCCTGTGATGTAGTCGATAGGCCAAAAACAGTAACAACAAGTCTCACAATGGAGATGTTACTGGTGCCCACTCGAGCAAATCAATGAACAATGGGAGGACAGTGTGACAGTGCTATCTCCATGATTTTCTATTCTCCCAACCACCATCGCCCAGGACTGCCCCAATAGCAGGCCCCAAATGATTTATTTTGTCTTGCCTGTTAGGATTAATTAATGAGAAATGACCAAAACGGATTTCCTTAAAAAGGAAGTATGAAGATTGTTGTATCTCATCCTGGAGCCATTACGCCATTACGTCTTGTGTAAGGGATGACCAATACGCTGTTTACAGGTTATGTCTCCTGGTTGCCTTCTACTTTACAACCCAATATCCAACGTGGAGGAAATGGCTCTGAACACACGGGCCAGACAGCAGCAGCTGTCCCAGACACCCTCCGTCACTCATGCTGTGGTACCCCAGGTCGAGAGGCGGGAGTCTCCCTGCCTTGCTCAAGCAGAAAATAACTCTACGGTGACTCGGTTGGAGAGATAAGACTGATGGGTTCAGCTATGAGGGCGCCTCAAAGAGGTCCACAGGTACCCCATGGGCCAGACCAATGATGGGCTGAAGCCCACCGGATGTCCCCTCTTGCTCGACACCTTTTCAGTTTCCTGCCGTAAGAGCAGAAAGCACCAAAGTCAAAAACTTATTGGTCGCTGCCGGCTGCAAATTGCTAACTCTGTCTTAGCCCGAAGTATGACGATTCACAGGCCAATGCCCATCTCTGCGGCCCCCTGAAAGCTTCCCTAAAGGTACTGAGAG